ATATGCATGCATACATACATACATACATAGAAACATATTACTTTTTATATTTATACACAAGTAATGCATCAATTATATTTTATGTACATAAATAAATAATAATAATAGTATATGAATGCTGAAAGGTACACACAGGTTTTGGATCCATCCAGAAGACGTCCCTTTCAGGGACGTCCTGTCTTATTCCAGCGAGACAGTGAGACATATTGTGACGTGTCCCAACAGCGTGTCTCCGTAGTGACAGAGTGCAGGTACCAGACTGACCTGCCTGCAGTCCACACCTGTCTCCCACTGAACATGTGTGGGACATGATGAAGCACAAAAAGCAGTAATGGAGACCACGGACTGTTGAGACACTGACGTTGTATATCAGACAAGAACGGCAAAGAATTTCACTTTCAGAACCCTTCACATGTACTGAGGAGAAGGTGATGTCACACAGTGGGAAACATGCTCCTGTCCCAGCTGCTGTGGAACATGTCACAGACATCACAACCAGAATAAATGTATATTATTAAAATGATTAATGTGTGTGAGGGTGAATATTAAATATCTTCATCATCACTGTGTGCTGTTTAATTTACATGTCACACTGCGGCCCAACATTTTTTTGAATTGTGGTTGTATTAGAGTCAATATTAAAAATGAGTAGTTGGCTGTGTGTTCGGCAGCCGGCACTCATGGAAAACTCTGAAGCTTCTGCCGCCACCTCTGATTGGCCCTGGTGACGTAGCTCCTCCCATGGCCCTCTCATGTTCTAGTTTTTGTGTTGGACTACGTCATGCTGATTGGCTTTGTGTGTGTCCGCAGAGGTGAAGGAGAAGACAACAGGACGCCGTCGCTCCACCTCCAGGAGAAAAACGAACGCAAACCCTGAACCCGACCCTGACCCTGACCCTGACCCCAACCAGAACCCTGACCCTGATCCCCCTCGGCCTGACCCCACGGTCTCAGCGTCAAGCCCAGAACCAGCTCCCAGTGCTGAGGAGGAGGACAGGACCAGCCCTGCTCCTGCTGCTCCTCTCCCAGCCACCAGTCCTGGAGATAAACCTCGAGTCAGTTCCCCATCCCCATCCCCTGCCTCCAGCCCCAGACCTGCCCCTGCTCCTGATCCCGATCCTGATCCTGATCCTGATCCTGTGGAGGAGGACCGACCCAGCCCGAGCCACAGCCCCAGCATTGTTCCTTTGGAGACAGAGGGGGGCGGGGCCCTGAGTCCCTGCTCCAGTCCTCCGGTCTCCCCCTGTCCCCGACTGGAGGACGAGGACTCGCTGTCCCCTCTGTTCCAGCTGTCTCTGTCCGAGGACTCAGGGGGCTCGCCTGCCCCCAGCCTGGGACACACCAAAAAACGGTGAGACTGTGTGTGTATTTGTAAGGACCACTTTAAATTTTAGACACAGTGCGTTTCCATGACGACAGAGGAAACAGATTTATATAAATCCCTGTAAACATGTCAGTGTGAGTGAAATGGTCCTGCAATGAATCCGTCACAGTGGGACTAACACACCCAGATCATGTGACTCCTGCATGTATACAGTCAATCAGACCCAAACTGGCCGAGGCGCTCTGAGCATGCTCCACAGTTTCCACCCCGGGCTTTGACCCGGAAGTCCAATAGCATTAAATGTGTAAGAGAAGAAGAAGCCGGTAACAACATGGAGAAATCTACATCCAGAGCCGTGACTTTTTGGACGGACCAAATGTACAGAGCTGTAAAGTTGTCCACCATGGTAGCAGTTAGCTGCTAGCTAACCGTAGCTAACTTGTTTGTCCATTGTTTGGTCTGTGACGTAATAGGTCAACAGGAAAAAGGTCCAATACTAACAAGCTGAAAGGGGGCATATCTCCACCTATCGTAGAGGAGTCGCACATACTTGGCTCAATAAATGGATTCCCCTCCCGTGCTTGTATACTGGGACAAGGACAGTAGGCCAGTTAGATGTCCTCGTCCAGCTGGGACTGTAGCTCCACTTCACTGTGACTGGAAACAGACTGACAGTGACAGTTTGAGGGTTCGGACTATTGTGATCATTTTCAGGTTCATACTGGTTAGATAATGTTTAATGTTCTAAAACACTTCATTCCCCCTGTCCTGTCTGTGATGGAACACATGAACTCAGAGATGTTTCGTTTTAGAGCCCTTCCCCTGAAAACGTCCTGTCTGCTCTGATTGGTCAAGCGTTTATCTCAGTGTCACCAGTGAAAGCTTCTAAACACAAGCGAACATGTTCCATCTGAAATCAGCATGAGCAACAAGATTTCCCTGACGTTAGCATTGGGGATGTGCGCAGTTAAACGTCTAAACGATTAAATGTCTAAACGATTAAACGTCCGGCCCCTCGCTAGTTGGCACCAGAAATATTAGTCAGTTAAACCTATTAGTGTTTTGTTCATGTACAAGGCCTCACCTGTCACGGGATCTACACCTCTGCGTTAAATAGACAGCGCATCTGTGGCGTAGGCTGTGGTGTAGGGTATGAATCTACACAGACCCGACGCTGCAGCCTGACGTGGACCTCCCCAGAAATATAACTACACGTCACAGTGACGCAGACCTCCCGTCTGTCTCTGTAAGATAACACCCGAGCAAAATCAAACATTTTGCCCACTTGACATGCTGCTGTGTTGTGCTATGGCCTATTCAAGTACTGGAATTTGTTATTTACATGACAACGCCTGAATGCAACACAGGCTCGGTTATAATTGTCTCAGACTCGGGTCGGGTTTGGTCAGGAAAATGTGGCCTGAGCCGCGCTCTGGCGTGCTCACCTGTGTGTCTCTATTTGTGTGTGTGCACATCAGGGTGGAATTCTGCCGTGTGTGATACAGAGAGCAGAGAAGAATTGTAAACGCACGACCGTGTAGAGACAGAAATGACATGCTGTCAGTCAATAACAATCATTTAGCGTCCCTGTTATATGGCGGCTGATCTCGTCCTCTGCTCGGAGGGTAAGGAGCTCCTGGACCTCATTGTTTGAGTTAGCTGCTAACTGCTAACAGCTGCTTTTTAAATCTACAGCAATGGGTCACACACATTACACCTCATCAAACCGTTACACCCTTCCCCTCTGTGGTCCCGCCATGCCAGCTGTCATGGCAAGACAACTCTGTCCCCCCATTGCGGGACCTTTTGTACTGAACAGAGAGGCGGAACAGCGGCACAAAATTCCCGCCTTGAAGAGGCAGAATAAACAGGTCAGAGTGACGAGATTGGATTTGTGTTCTGTCAGTGAGGGTCGTCATATGTACAAAAGTACAAACATAGTGCACAATGATCAGATACAGAAATCATCGGCATTCCTTAGAACTTTTTCCTACGCATCAGTAGTTATCCAGGTGACTGTTTCCATGGTAACATATAAACAGGAAGTGCTCTGAGCAGGACTTTTAATTTGATCCTCTGGCAATAGACCCTTATAGGGCTGATGTCACGATGACATCACGATGACGTCATGTCATCAGCTGGAGGTGCAGCTGCCTCTCCCCCACAGGGCTGTAGGCTCCAAAGGAGTGTTAAAATGTGTTTGTCTTGTTGTGTTATTGGGAGCCAGAATAGAAGGAGTCATGGCTCAAAACCAGCCGCCACTGCCCGTCAACAAAAACAAAGACAACTATGGTTAAATGTGATAAGACCAAAGGACTGGACGGAGGCCATCATCAAAAATGCTCACATGTGCAGCGCACACTTCATATCAGGTTAGGGAAAAAGTATTTCCTGTTGTAGGGATGAATAAGGTTATGTGTATTAAGGGTTATCATGTCCACCTCATCAGAAACTGGGGAGGGATTAAGAGGAAGATAGGATTTCTCTGCAACGCTAACTTTTTAGCACATTAGCTAACGTTAGCTTCCATAGCAAAACAAACAAGTGTGGTCCTGTGACATCATCCATCCACTGAGTGAGAGCATACGGGTCGGCCAGTCTGGTCCTGTTGGTCAGTGTTTACTTATTCAAGTAGCGTTCACCGTTTGATTAACGAGCTGGAACGATCGATGGATTAGAAGACGATCAGTCCCTAACATGTCTCGTTCTCTGGCCCTGCAGTCTGAAGCAGTGTGCCTTCTGTTACCGCGGTGAAGAGCCACCCCTGGGCCAGGGCCGACTGGTGGTGTTTGGCCCGACGCCCGGCTACATCCCGCTCCACATCCTCAACCGCCGCGCCTCCTCCGACCGGGACAATGACTGCCATGACCACTGCTACCGCGGCGACCAGGCCCCGCCCATGTGAGTGACCTCACTTCCTGTTTATTGCCTATCAAAGTTAAACCAGTTAGACAAGTGTTTCCCATAAGAAGAGCTGTTAGATTCAGTTTCAGCACAGATTGTATTTGTTTGTTTATTTGTTTACCACTGTGATCGATGTGTGTGTGTGGGTGTGGGTGTGTGGGTGTGTGGGTGTGTGGATGTGTGCAGGTGCAGCAGTCCAGAGCAGTGTGGTGAGTACTCTTTATTCATACTGAAAGTGTTGTAACACCAAAACCAGTGACCACAAATCTCCTGACGACTGAGACGCAACTGGTCTGATCACTGTTATTGATCTCCTGATGTTTCAGAGGAGGAGTCTTCCTCAGAGTTTGTGGAGCAGCTCGGACCCGTTGGCCTTCCACATGACATCAACGTCCAATCACTGTTCGACCCCACAGGTACTAGAGGATACGCTCCTCCTCTCCTGAAACCCTCCCTTATTCCCTGACCTCTGTCCATCCTTTGAGGTAAACCTGACTGTGTGTGTGTGTGTGTGTGTGTGTGTGTGCCTGTGTGCGCAGGTCAGTGCTGTGCTCACCTGCAGTGTGCAGCCTGGTCAGAGGGGGTATGTCGCGGCGAGGGCCAATCACTGCTCTATGTGGACAAAGCCATCGACTCAGGAAGCACGCAGGTGGGTTTGTGTTGTCTGATTGGTCACTGCTCTAAAGGAGGAATACAGCTGTATGCAGCATCACTAAGCCCCGCCCTTCTCTCACCTCTTCAGGTGTGTGTGTTCTGCCGTCGGCTCGGAGCCTCGCTGCGTTGCCGGGAGACGGGCTGTAGGCAAAGCTTCCATTTCCCCTGTGCTGCTGCGGCTGGAGCTTACCAGGACTGGACCAAGAAACACACACTGTGTACAAGACACACACACACAGGTACTCTCTCTCACACACACACGCACGCGCGCACGCACACGCACACGCACACGCACAGGTTCCTTAAAGGGATAGTTTAGGGGTTTTTTTGGTAATGTTTTTTATTGAAGGATAAATGCGAATCACACAGTATCAGAATTGTCACACTCCCGGCCCTACCTCGAGAGTCAACACACACTGAGGACATAAAATAAAAATGAAGCACAGCAGAAAAAGGGAACAGTAAATGAAAGTAAAGAAGGAGAGAAGGTATTCTCATATAATTACATAATATCCCTCTCCTGTTGAGGAGGAGTTGGTCAAAGGCAGTTAAAGTTTGTCATCAAGCACTGCCTTGTCTCATAGAAACAGTCCGTAGAGATTTAATCTTCTCAGGTTTAAGAAACAATACCAGGTGTGTATTGACAGGGGATGATGGAGGATTAGGGGATGCCCATTCTAGCAAAATCTGCGATGAGCTAATACTGATGCATATTCTGCTATATCAGTCTGTCAGAGTAAAAGTAATAATAATTAAAGCTGCAAGCAGCGATGAACAGGCCCTCGCACCTTCGCACAACTCAGGGCTGCTGGCAGGACGCCGACTGAAGCATCAGTTCATTTCTGTCAGATAGCTCATGAGATGGAGGAGATGGCATATCCTTCATACAGTGCTGGAATGACTATTTCACATTTTGTACCACTTCCTCTTCCCACTAGAGGGAGTAGGAGAAGGCACTAACGATAGGTCATGTTCCTATATGTGAGGTAGATACCACAGCATGTAAATGTCAGGTAAATGAAAAAATAAGTGTCAAAAAAGACATACTTCCTGTCGATGCTAGATGGCGCTGTACTCTTCACTGATTATTGACATGTAGATGTGTTCAGGGCGGGACTGTCATCAATCCTGTGAAGTTTGGGCAAGATTGGACCATGTATGCTGGAGTTATAAACTACTTCCTGTTCAGTGGCGAGACCCCTAACTTTGACGCCATCCCACGGTCACAGACATTGACGAAAACTCAAGCTTTTGATAACTTTTCATCTTCAAGGTCTTGGGATGGGACAGACCATGGTTTGAAGTCAATCAGATGAAATCTCTAGGACTAGTTTGTTCATTTATGACCCCTGGAAATGGCCAAAAATGCACCAAAATTGCACAGAAAATTCAAAATGGCAGACTTCCTGTTGGGTTTAGATCATGGCTCCAAGAGGCTTTTTTGTACGTCTTGGATTGTTACATATGCCTACCAAGTGTCATACGTGTAGGTTAAACTAGCTTCGGGGGCTGTTTGCTCAAAATTTTGTCAGTGGCGCTACTGAGGCTTTTTTTTTTTTTTTTTTTTTTTTTTTGGGAGAGAGAGAGAGACAGAGAGTGTCTTGAAATGTCAGATTTTTCACCACCAAGCCATTTCATTTGGAGGAAGAAGAAGAATTCCTTGCATTTCATTAGGGTCCTCGCACTGCTAGGTGCTCGGGCCCTAATGAAAAGGTTTATTTATATAGCACTAGAGTAGTGAGGTCCTCTGGAACCCCAAACAGTGCCATGAGGTCACTAGGTTGCAAATTGTTCATTAGTTTGGGACAGAAACAGAACATATGAGCAAGGTCTGCCAGGGTCACATCTCTTGTCATCACTCAGGTAGATGTCTACAAGTCTGGCTTTACTACAGTGGGAACGGTGCACAAGGCCAAGACGTGCACAGGGTGATTAAGAATATGTCAATATGTTAATTTAATATTTATGACACCCTTTTGGTTGGGCTGCATCTCCAGACATTTGTCCCAAAGTAAATTAGGGGCTGCATGTGGAAAAGACAGGAGCTGAGCTTTAACCAAGTGTCCAGTATGGAAATACTGAAAAAGGTCATGATAGGGCGGGGATAGTGGTTGGTATGCATCCACTTCGGAGAAGCAGCAATGTCCTGCTGTGGAGGGGATCGGCAACAAAATGTATTTTAGCCACCTAAAAAATCAGTTTAACTGGACTGTATGTTTGATGTGTTTTCACTGCTTTGTCTTAAAGTCAGAGGGAGGTAGACGGTGACTTCCAGGAAGGAACATGAAGCTGTTATATCTCTCTCCTCACAGCCAGACTCCATTGAGAAAAACAGTGATTTAACATGAGTGATCTCAGGAGCTGCTGGTCGACTGCTGCCTCCATCAGTTAGTGTGTTTGTGTCACTGTATGACTTTGCTGTTACTTCACATTCACCAGAGTCACATAGTGACACAAACACACTAACTGATGGAGGCAGCAGTCGACCAGCAGCTCCTGAGATCACTGATGTTAAATCACTGTTTTTCTCAGTGGAGTCTGGCGGCTGTGATGACAGCTTAGATGGGGAACTGAAGCTGTTACGGCTTCTCTGTCGGAGCAGGCTGTGTGATGGAAAGGTGAAGTGGTTTAAAATAATTTCAGTATAGTGTACACTTACTCTGCGACAGATTTTTTTGGGTGGCTAAAATATGTTTTACTGCTCCTCCCCGTCCACAGCAGTAGATTGCTTAGCTTCTGTGTCGTACTCCAGTCTGCTTCTCCAAACTGACATCTTGTGTAGGTTACACACTGACTGTGGATCAGTGCTCCATACGACCCCACTCCAAGAATCAGAACTGTCCCTTTCAGTGTGTTTGTAGATTTAAGAGAGTGTTTCCTGCGAGGTGTAACCGTATGTGTGTGGAGTCCGTGATCATGAAGATCTGTAGAGACATTTTCCTCATGTGGTTTAAGCTCCGCCTCTTCTTCGCCTGCTCCGACCGGCTGTTACACACAACAGGAGAGGATGAGACAAGACGTCAGCCTTAGTTTCATCCCTTTGGCTCAACATGTATAAAACTTTGTCCCTCTCTGTCTCCAGCGTCCTCACAGTGTGTGTTGTGTTCGAGTGGCGATGATGTCGGTGGTCTGTTGATGTGTTGTTGCTGTGGTGACCGCTACCATGGCAGCTGCCTGAACCCCCCCCTGGCCCCCTCCCCCCTATGCCGGGCTGGCTGGCAGTGTCCTCAGTGTCGAGTGTGTCAGAGCTGCAGGTAACACACACACACACACACACACACACACACACACACACACACACACACCCTGGTGACAGCTGTGGGTGCAGGCTGAATGTTCACAGGTTGTCTGTCTGTTTCATTCTCGTGGACACATCATGCTGTCATCAATGATATATGTATGATTGTGGTTGCAGACAAGCTTGTAGTGCAACACAGCCGCCAACTGGAGTGGAACTAACACCATAACTGTGTCCTCTGTGTGTGTGTGTGTGTGTGTGTGTGTGTGTGTGTTAGGTTGCGAGGGGATGATGGCGCGTTGCTGGTGTGTGAACGCTGTGATAAAGCCTACCACACACACTGTCTCACACCACCTCTGGATCACACACCGAGCACCGGCTGGAGCTGCAAGGTGACATAAACACACATACACACACATACACATATGGGTGTCAGCCTCAGTGTTGATCTCTGGACAAACCTGTGTTACAACCTCTCTTTCCTCCAGAACTGCAGAATCTGCCGCCGCTGTGGTGTGAGGTCATCAGGCCAGTGGGCCAATCACCTGTTTCTGTGCAAGTCATGTGACCCGGCCCTGCCCTGCCCTCTCTGTGACCATGCCCCCGACCTCTACACACCACAGGACTATCTGACCTGTATCTGCTGCTATAGGTACACACACACACACACACACACACACACACACACAATCACAATCCATTGAGTGTTTCTTCTGAAATAGTGATGAACAAAAATAAACGAATGAACCTTTCTGAACGACTCTTTTACATGTCCAGTATGTACCTGTTCAGCCTGTCAGACGTCTCGGTGCTCATGAATCACCAACTTTTCCGACACTTACTGTCGGGCATTGCTCACACTGCCTCCTACAGTGAGTGATTGAGATGCGATTGAATCAGACAGTCTGGCAGCTGTACTGACCGAACAAGACAGAATGGCGTGTATTCTGTTTGCGCAGGAAGAACAATAACTCACTGCAGTCAAATCACATTTCTGTCCACATAGCAGAAGTGTAACGATCTATTAGTCTGAATCAATATATCGATTCAATGATCAACGATCCAATACCATCGACACAAAGTGAAAACGTCGACCTATATCACCGTCTTTAGGTTACACCTTTATTTTGAAAGTCTGTGTCAGCGTCAAACAGCAGCAGGAATGAAGAGGATAACGTTACTGACTCAGGAATAAATCAGCAGTGTGGAAATATTTTGGATTTTAGAGAACATCCAGGTCAGCAGACAGAACACATGGTGTATGTGAACAATGACGTTATGAGATAAACTCCACTGACGTTACCTGCCTGGACGAGCGTCTCACTCCGCTAACTTCTCACTGCAGCAACATCAGCTGCTGTTTCAACAATGTTCGGCTAAAAAACATTCATGCAGGCTGAAATTCAACCGAGCTGTTCTGTCAGGAGACGCAGAGACTGAAACCAACGCTGAGGAAGAAGAAGTATAAATAAGACATGTCATCTGTTCAACTTGTTTGTAGAGGAAAAGTCTGCTAGCCGCTAGGCTAATTTATGTAATGTAAACATGCTAAAGCTAATAATGGGTGACCAGCATAAAACAACAGTTGTGTCTGTGAACCCTGACAGTTGTTACTGAGCTGAGTTTGAGACTTGTTTTAAATGATCCTGTTATTTTATGGCTGTTTGGAGACGTTTGTCTTTAAGACACAAGTTTGTCTCCAGGACTTTAAGACACAAGTTTGTCTCCAGGACTTTAAGACACAAGTTTGTCTCCAGGACTTAAAGACACAAGTTTGTCTTCAGGACTTTAAGACACAAGTTTGTCTTCAGGACTTTGAGACACAAGTTTGTCTCCAGGACTTTAAGACACAAGTTTGTCTTCAGGACTTTGAGACACAAGTTTGTCTCCAGGACTTTAAGACATGGTCCTGAAGTTTTATAAAGAGATGATGTTTGGGTTAAAGTGAAAAGATTTCTGACAGTGCTGCTTTCTGTGTGTTAGTGGAGTCAGTTTATTCAACTCTACTGAAGTTGACTGGATCTTGTATGACCAACAGCAAAAGGAAAGGTGTGGCAGCTTCTTCTGGAACAGACTGTGTTAAATGATAATGTCTCATCGTTCACAGGCCCCTGAATTGAATTGAATTGAATCGAATTTAATTGAGTCATATCATGACAGACTTTGTGATATTTGCAAATATTGTGTTGTTGTTTTAAGTACAGTCCAAACCAGATTCACGCCGTGTTGAGTTGAAACAAACAACTACTGTCAATGCTCCAGTCTGAGCTGCCAGTCAGAGTAATTTCTTTCACCAACGGACTCCACCGGGTCCAATGCCAATACAACACACTGAATCACCAAAAAAACAACAAGGGCCAACTGGGGGACACACTGCAAAAGCTATGGCAGCAGACACTCACCAACGGCCTGACACTGACCAATGACCGACTGTCTGCTTGGTTTGTCAGGGCCCTGAGACTGTCATTGGTACACTGCAGGTCTAAGGAGAAAATGCTCAGCCTTAGCGTTGACTGCTTATTTTGTTCATCATATGTTTTGAAGCAGATAAAAAACACCACATGGACACCCTTTCATTAAAAGTGGTCCTTGAAGATTTAGCAAACATGCACATCTTCATTTTTGTGTTTTGTTACAGGTGTGTCCATACAGAGTGTATTGTCCAGGCTGGGGAGGGCAGGGCAGGGTCTGAAGATTACATCTGCTCCATCTGCAGGCCTCAGAAGGAGGAGCCAATCCCACACACTCCACTCGCACGCAGTCCTGCCCCGGTCCCTCAACTAAGTCCCACACAGGCACCACCCATAAGCGTTTCACAGCCACCAATTCCAGGTCTCACAGAGGCTCCACCCATCAGTCCAACGGCTCATAGCCCAGTCCACTTCATCCGCTCAGAGCCAGCCCATAGTCCTACCAAAACCCCCTGTACGCCATCGCAACAAAGTCTGGCTCCATCTCATGTTGAACCCACAGGGCTCCAACATAGTCCTGCGCCACCCTGCCCTGAACCTACAGAGCTCCAACATAGTCCTATGCCATCCCTCCCTGAACCCACAGAACCCCAACATAGTCCTGCGCCATCCCACCCTGAACCCACAGAACCCCAACATAGTCCTGCACCAACCCACCCTGAACCCACAGAGCTCCAACATAGCCCTCCACCATCTCACTCTGAACCCACAGAGCTCCAACACAGTCCTGCACCATCCCACCCTGAACCCACAGAGCCCCAACATAGTCCTGTGCCATCCCACCCTGAACCCACAGAGCTCCAACATAGTCCTGCGGCATCTCATTCTGAACCCGCAGAGCTCCAACGTAGTCCTTCACCATCTCGTTCTGAACCCACAGGGCTCCAACATAGTCCTGTGCCATCTCACCCAGAACCCACAGAGCTCCAACATAGTCCTGAGCCACCTCACTCTGAACCCACAGAGTTCCAATATAGTCTTGAGCCATCCCACCCTGAACCCACAGAGCTCCAACATGGTCCTGCGCCATCTCACTCTGAACCTGCAGAGCTCCAGCATAGTCCTGCGTCATCCCACTCTGAACCCACAGAGCTCCAACATAGTCCTGCCCCGTCACATTCTGAACCCACAGAGCTCCAACATAGTCCTGCACCATCCTGCTCTGAACCCACAGAGATCCAACGTAGTCCTGCGCCAGCTCACTCAGAACCCACAGAGCTCCAACATAGTCCTGCGCTATCCCACCCTGAACCCACAGTGGTTCAGCATAGTCTTTCGCCATCCCACCCTGAACCCACAGAGCTCCAACATAGTCCTGCATCATCCCACTCTGTACCCACAGAGCTCCAACACAGTCCTGCGCCATCTCGTCCTGAACCCACAGAGCTCCATTATAGTCCTGCATCATCCCACCCTGAACCCACAGAGCTCCAGCATAGTCCTGCATCATCCCACCCTGAACCCACAGAGCTCCAGCATAGTCCTGCACCATCCCGCCCTGAACCCACAGAGCTCCAACATAGTCCTGCACTGTCCTGCCCTGAACCCAAAGAGGACCAACAATGTCTTGCGCCATTGCATCCTGAACCCACAGAGCTCCAACACAGTCCTGCACCATCTTACCCTGAATCCAAAGAGCTCCAGCGTATTCCTGAGCCATCCCACCCTGAACCCACAGAGCTCCAACATACTCTTGCAGCATCCCACCCTGAATCAACAGAGCTCCAACCTAGTCCTGCGCCATCCCACCCTGAACCCACAGAGCCCCAATATAGTCATGTGCCATCCAGCCTTGAACCCACAGAGCTCCAACACAGTCCTGCACCATCCCGCCCTGAACCCACAGAGGACCAACAAAGTCTTGCGCCATCTCATTCTGAACCCACAGAGCTCCAACATAGTCCTGCACCATCCCGCCTTGAACCCACAGAGCTCCAACAAAGTCTTGCACCATCTTACCCTTATTCCCCAGGGCAACAAGAAATTTCTACACCATCTCGTGCTAATGGAAAAGAGCTCCAGCAAAGTCCACCACCATCTCATCTCAGTCCCACAGAGCTCCTTCAAAGTTCACTACAATCTTACTCTGGTCTAACAGAGTTCCTTCCATCAGTTAGCCCTAATCTCACAGAGCACCAGGAGAGCCACACCCTATCTCAAGTTAGTCCAGCAGTGTTTCAACAAAGCCCCACCGGTGTGACTCCCTTGCAGGCTCAGAAGACTCAGCTCAATTTTACTTCTTCCAGCTCTACCAAGAATTCCACACAGGATCAGCTTTTGGCCACAGAATCTCAGCAGAGTCCAACACAGGGTAGTCCCATGTCTTGTAGCCATGCACATTCTCCGCACAGCCCACCACCACAGACACCATCCCAAGTAGGGCTTAGTCCTACCCAGGTTCAGCTAGGGCCTGCAGAGCCTGAGCAAAGCCCTTCACCACACAGTCAGGTGCAAGACAACTCTACACAGACACTGTTTGATCGACCATGTGGTCCTACAAACATCATCATCGTACAGCCTCAGCACAGTCCTACGCCACATAGTTCTGCACAAGTTGGCACATCACCTCCACAGAGTCCCACACAGGATGCTGAACATACACTGGACCAGGAGAGCCCTGGATCAAGCAGCCCTGCTGAGCTGCAATGTGCGCCTGCACAGGACATTTCTACACTGGACCAGGAACTCTCAACAGTCTGCCGTAGGCCCACCAAGACAGCAAGGAGACATGCCTTACCAAGGCCCTTTTCAGCTCCATGTAGCCCATCACCATCCTCACTCAGAGCCACACAGTGTAGTCTGTCACAGCCTGCTAGCCCAGTACAGGCTCACTCTACACAGCCTTTTAGGCCTTTGCAGCTAAGCTTACTTCCTTCTCAGCTTGCTGCTCAGTCAAGAGTCACAAAGGAATGCACGCAAACCAGTACTACAGAGCTGACATCTTTGGAGCATAGCCCAGTGAAGCTGATTCCTAACCTTGATGGCCAAACACTGGAAAGTAGCCCTACCCCTCTTAGCCCCACACCTGACCTATCCACAGTGCCCCCTGATAGCCATGGCACAGATGGCAAACTCCCAAACCAGTGTGGTCCTGTTCAGAGTAGCGTGCTTAGTCCTGACCACTCTAGCCCCCATCACGGTCCTGCCATGTCCACACCAGAAAGCCTTGTTCACCTTAGCACTTCAATGGAACACAGTAGCCTAACTTGCTCACCTTGTGCTGATGAAATGGAGGAAATTCCCCTCCCAGCTAGCTACAGTCATCAGAGTCCTTCTTGTGACAGCCCATCACGCTGCACAGAAGCTATTGAAGGTAAAACCAGCCCCATACATATCCAAAATAGCTCAGCTAGTGCTAGCCCCAAACATGCCAGTCGGATGCCTATGAGCCCTGCCAGCTCTATTCAGGCCTGTTCTAGCCCTATGGCAGTGGAGACTATCCCTGCCCACGTAAGCCCTGTAGCTGCAGAGACTAGCCTCTCAACACAACCACCTAGCCCTGTAACGCTACCAGCGCAACCGATTGGCCCCTTGGCACTACCTGTCAGATTCGCAAAGCAACCAGCTAGCCCACCAGCAGTACTGGCTAGATCTGTCCATCCCATCTCATGTCAGGATGAAGAGATGGAGACACAAGTCAACCACCACAGTCATTTAATTCACTCAGAAACTAGTCCTGGCCACCCAACCCCTATTCTGGACAATAGAATTCATAGAAGCCCTACTCATGTTAGCACAGTCCACACAGAAAATAACAGTGGGTACAGTCCGATGGGCTCCATGCATGTTCCAGAGAGAACCAGTACCGCTGTTTGTAGTTTTGTAGAGACTCAGGCAAGTCCCACACTTCCTGGTCAGTCTGATCCCTCACATGTCCCGACCACCTGCAATTCTTCTCCATCTGCAGTCCAGACGGGCCCCCTGCCATCTCCAACTAGCTTTAGTCCTCCACACTGTCGGTCAGCTGATACTAGCCCAGCTAGTAGCTCTGTCAGCCACAGTCTGAGCCATAGTGGCCAGACAAATTCCCCGTCTGCTAGCATAACTGATGTCAGCCACAGTCCACCTAGGTCTAGTCCTGCTGGTCAAGCTAGTCCTGTTCACAAACAAAGCACCTCTTGTAGTGCCCACTCAGGCCCAGTCCAAAGACAGACTCCCTCATTAGCTAGCATGGCATACAGTAGCCCTGCACATTCTGCTGTTGCTTGTGTTAGCCCACCTTACAGTCCAGCTCAGGCCAGTGAAGAGTATCGTAGCCCCAGAGGTAGCCCCCATTATACCCCAGCTTCAGACACTGGAACCAGTTCTGGCCTAACTGTGGCACAGCTAAGCCCCACTTTGGCTAGTTCAAGACTTGATGTGGACATGGGGGCCAGTTCCATAATCCGGTGCTGTGTTCTTCCCACTGTGGTTCAACTCAATTCTGGTCTTGTTAAACCCACAGACAGTATTAGGCAGACAAGCCCAGCACCTGCCAGTTCCCAGTCATATGACTCACCTGCTGTTAGTCCAAACCAGGCTAGTCTGATCCAGGGTAGCCAGTCCCCAGCTAGTCCTCTCCCTACCCCCAAAAGGTCTGTTGTTGAAAGCCAAGAAAACACTGCATCGGCAAGCCCCTTGTATCAAAGACCAGCGACCCCTGTTGATGCTACTTCCACTTTGGCTAGTCAGAGCCATGCTAGTCTTGTCCATTCTAGTCCCACTCAGGATAACACTGTGATGCCTAGTACTAGCCACATTAGTAAAATACCCGCTAGTTCCCCACTCTCTGCCCCCTCACAGAGTAGCCCTCCTCATGCTCCACAAGCTCAAGCTAGTTCTGTGCACAGTAGCCCAGTTGCTGGTCCTGTTTGCAGCCCCCTGCAATCAGGTGATACGCAAGTTAATCCTAGACCTACCAGCTCTATGCAGCCAGAGGCTAGTCCCAGTCCTGGACCCGATAGACCTTTTAGTTGTGAGGCTAGCCCTGGTCCTGGTTCAGTTAGACCTGTTCTTGCCATCCCTGGGCAGTCTGAAACCAGCCCAAGTTTTGGTCCTACAAGCCCTGTGCAGCCTGATGCTGGTCCTGGTCCTGGATGCCACTCTGTTTCCAGTCCTCAGCAACACACGACAGAAACGGAGTCTGCAGCGACAGTGGGTGAGTATCAGGGAGACATTGATATTTACTATTAAACATGTGATATATTTAGCAGAGACAGTGGAAAGTTAGTAATAAAACAGTTACACCGTATTTCTACTGCATGGTATGGTACAGCTCTGCTACACTATGTACACTAAGTGCGCTATGCTGTGCACATTGGACAACCACATAGAGAGAAGAACCTGGTACCAAAAGTGAGTCAAGTTGAATCCCGCAGTGAAAATGAGACATCAGTTGCTGCGACTCCAACGTGCAGATTTCATATAGTTTCTGGAACTTATTTATTTTTTATTTTTGTTGTTATCATTCATTCATGTTATCATTTGTTTATGTTGTTATCATTGAGCGTATGTAAAGATGGACGGTGTGTTTCCACTTCCTCCCCATTGTTCAAAAACGGAGCCAAATATCTCGCATAGGGCTGCTGCCATCTTGCTCTGGTGGTGACATTTGGAGCTGCACAGTAGTGATCTCCTTGGTTTCCTCCCACCCATACACCCTCCCAGCCAAGCACAAGCAGCACCATTGATTGTGAGCAAACTGATTGGCACACACAGCTGTCAGTCATGATGTCACACACCCTTTCTATAGCATCAGATATCTAATTAAAACCAAACGTATCAGAAAAATGAACACACAAACAGCAGCGTGATAAGAGCTACATAAAATGACAGAAACCCATGTCCCACATGCTGACATGGAGGGGGCAGGGTTTGTGAGCTATACTGCAGCCAGCCACCAGGGGGCGACAGATGTTTTGGCTTCACTCATGGGAAGCTGTCGTGTTGTCCATCTTTGTTATACAGTCTGTGGTTTTCATGCCTCTGTGCCGGCCGTGGTCATGGCATTATGTTTTTGTGTTGTCCATACGTACATCTCGTGAACGTGATATATCAGCAGCACCTTGAGGAATATTTTTTAAATTTGGCACAAATGTTCCATTGGACCCCAAAATTAAGTCATTAGAATTTGGTGGTTATAGGTCAAAGTCACTGTGACTCTAGCCCCTTTTACACTGCCAGATTTTCTGCGAATGTTGGGCCGTTTGGCCGGCAAGTTGCGAGCGTTTAGACACACAGAGCCGGATTGGCGAGTTGATCCGAGGTGCCCAATTTTCCACCTCGTAGGGTAGACATATTGGTGGAACCCTTTTTAGTTTAAAAGACAGAGAACAGGGAAACACAAACCTGACAGACACTGTAAAGATGAGCAACTGAGGAGACAAGGAATTGCGTGCCCTCCTTGTCCTCGCAAACAAAGATGACAGGGACGGTGAAGAACTGGGCCGACTTACGAGAGAATCTAGCTTCCCTCGGAGTACGTCACACGCTGAGCTACACGTTTTGTTACTTGCTCACGCCCCCCATTGCCCCGAAAAAGGCGCATTCTGTATAAACAAAAGTAGGTAGGCGGCATTTTGCTGCACTCCCCGATTTTGTTGTTATACTACCAATGCCGAAAAAAGACTGATTGAGCTTTCCTGCAAATTTGCACAACTCCTGTTTAAAAAGGGCTTTTGTGTCTGTTTCTTTCTCATGAACACACTATCTCAAGAACACCTTGAGAGAATTTCTTCAAATTAGGCACAAACGTCCACTTGGAGTCAACGATGGACTGATCAGAATTTGGTGTCAAAGTGACCTCACAAAACATGTTTTTGTCCATAACTGAAGAATTCATTCACTAATTCTGACCAAACTCGATACAAATGTCTAACAGGATAAAATAATGAAGGCCAAAAGGTCAAAGGTCAGCTTGACTGTGACGTCATCATGTTTTAATGTCATATCTCAGGAACAGAAGGGGAGACATTTGGTCAGATACTGAATTGGTGACTCTAATCTTGAAACTGTGCTGATTGTATAGATCTTCTGTGTGTGAAGCATCCATGTTTTCACTGACATGAAACCTGACGGGTTCAGGGAGGCGTACGGTGGCGAGGTGGCAGTACGAGTTACCGTGTGTAACGTCTTACTCTTCCTCTAGACATCAACATGGAGGAGGAGCAGAAGGAGAAGACTGAAGAGAAGGAAGAGGAGGAGATGCTGAGAGTAGTTCCACAGCAGGAGGACCCTCACCGGACAGTAAAGGAGAGTCCAGAAGAAGAAGAGTCTGTTGAGAGAACGGAGAGAGGAGGAGAACAGGAGCAGGAAGAGGAGGAGGAGGAGGATCGGCACAGCAGCTCAAACTGTCCTCCTGCAGGTAGGAGGCGTCTGCACTGATTCACACCTGTGATGATGTTGAGTTCAGGTACATGATGCTCACCTCTCTCTGTCTCCTTGCAGGGTCTGTCCTGACCGCCTCCCCCCTCCTCCCACAGCCAGCTCCTCCCTCCCCACAACCCACTGCACCATACTCTGCCTTACAGCCCTCCTGCTCTCCCTCATCCTCACCTCCTGCCCCCACCCTTTCCTCACCACCATCTCCTCCTCCTGCCAGAGCTGGCTCTCTGGAGGTGTCTCCTCACAGGACTGCCTTACTCCCCTACACCCTGTCTCCTCCCTCCCCTCCCCTGGAGGACCGCCCCCTGGAAGACAAACCTACCAATCAAGTGGAAGCTGTGACTGGGGAGGCGGAGCAAGAGGACAATTCGGTTCCCTGTCATGTGGCATCAGTAAAAGATGACAGCCAATCACAGAGCCAGTTTGAGCCTGTTGCTGCGGCAACAGAACCCACCAAAGATAAGAACCAATCACATGCTGAGCCTTCAGAGAGAAAAGAAGAGGAGGAGGAGCCTCCTGAACCAGTGGAGTCTATAGCAACAGACATGGTAGCCACTCCTGAGGTAGTTGCTGGGCAACAGCCAATGAGGGAGAGGCAGGATGCAGAGGACGAGGAAGAGAGGGAGGAGCAGGGAAAGGGTGTGACTGGTAAGATGGATGAAGAGGAGGTGGAGGAGGCAAGGGAGGGTGCTGAGCAGGACCAATCGGATGTGGAGGAGGAGGAGCCGGTGAGCCCTGTGCTGGAACTGGACCCCTCTTTGGACATGGAGGTGATGGCGCTGATGACCTCCTCCTCACCTGCCCCCTCTCTCCTGCACCTCCCCTCCCCGAGCCCTCCTCCTGCCTCCCGAAGGGGCATGGGTCGGACTCTAAGGCCTCCTCCCTGCTCCTCCAGGCCCTTGGACGACCTCGCCATCCGTCTGAGGCAGTCCCCCTTCTCCACCGAGGCCTCCCCTGAGACCTCCCCCGCCAGAGCTCCTGTCACCCCGCCTCCCCTTTCCCCACCCTCACCTCCTCTCCGCTACTCCCCCTCGGCCAGCGAGTCTCCACCTCTTTCAAAGGTAAATCTGACCCTAGACAACTGTGACGTCTCCTCCTTGTGTTGTCCTCCTGGTGTTCTCCTTGTCCTTGTGTTGTCCTCCTGGTGTTGTCCACCCTGTGTCCTCCTCCTCCCTTTGTGTTGTCCTCCTGCTAACTGACTTCTCCTGTTGTTGTCCTCCTCCTAGTGTTGTCTTGCTTGTGTTGTCCTCCTCCTCCTTCCAGTGTGTTGTCCTCCTCCCAGTGTGTCCTCCTACTCTCCTCCTCCTCCTCTCCCCCTCCTCCTCCTCCTCCTCTTGCTGACTGACCTCTCCTTGTGTCTTGTTTGTCCCCAGCCTCAGGCTCCTCCCATCACTGTGCTCCCCCTGACTCCTAAAATCGGCATGGGGAAGCCGGCCATCTCCAAGAGGAAGTTCTCCCCGGGCAGAGCCAGGGTCAAACAGGTACATGACCTTTGACCTCTGGGCTGTGTGTGTGGAGCTCAGAGCCTCATGAATCAGCTGATCAATCTTTCAGGATGTTTGATCACTTCAGACTCAGCAGCCAACACAGGGAGCTTTGACCTGAGACATGCCTCCAATAACTAATTGATTGATTGATTGATTGATTGATTGATTGATTGATAGTGTGTCTACAGATTGATGAAGCATCTCGTCTTCCAGCCGTGTGTGGGAAACGTTTCTAGTAGAAACTCTTGGTTCTTCTTCTCTCTGATTGGACTGAACCAGCACACATACGCTCTTACGTCCTCAGTCCTCTCAGGGGATGATGGGAAATATCTGTCCTCTGCTTTATCAATCACCACAGGGAAATATGTGTGTGTATGTTTGTGTGTGCGCGCGCGTGTGTGTGCGCGGGAATGTAGAGCATGTGTAGAACAGACGACTGTTCCTCTTCCTCCTCTTCTTCCTCCTCCTCTCCTGTCACTCACTGACGCTGCATCCATTCAGCATGTTTGGCTCACATGAACACACGTGTCATTGCATGAAGCTGTCTGTTTCTCTTTGTCAGTACCTGTGTGTGTGATGTCATCATAGGTCAGAGTCTGATTTGTTACCATGGAGCACCACTGTCAGCTGTTACTAAGATATGAGCTGGAGAGCTGTTAGTCTGTCTCCAGCTCACAGTTTAAAGGTGCTCTGCTAACTGCTAACAGCTAACTGTGAACAGGAAGCTGGACAGTGACAACACTTCCTGCCGGAGATGAGACAGGTGCTTCAAAATAAAAGCACCAGAGGTTCCTTTATAACAGTACTTTATTGTTACAGGGCTTTGTAGGCTAAATCACTCAGCTGACAGATCTGTGATCAGCTGACAGATCTGTGGTCAGCTGATATTTACCAGTTTAGCTGTAGTTAACTGACTGGTCGCAGTCTGTGTGTCCCAGTAGTGTGTTGTGACTGGTTGCATGTCGTCGTCATGGTAACATTGTCTTATTATTTTTGCCTGATTTTATTTTCTCTGTTTAAGTTTGACTTTTTGATTTGTGGCTGTTGCATTTATGTTACTGCATTTTGTCCTCCTCCTCCTCTTCCTCCTCCTCCTCTACCCCCCCCCCCCCCCCCCCCCCCCCCCCCCCCCCCCCCAAAAACTCAGGGTTCGTGGTGGAGTAATCGCAGGGCGGTGAGCCCCCCCTCATCCTCCCAGGATTCCATGGGGGAGGGAGGGTGGGACAGCCCTAAGCCCCGTCCACCGGACTCCCCCCTCTGGAGCATGAGAGTGGTAAAGAAGCGCACCCTAACTCTATAACTAACAGTGTTTGCTCACACCGCCCCTGTGGGATGTGACCGTCTAGAAACCAAGTGCACCCTAACTGTCAGTGTGCGTGCGTGCGTGCGTGCGTGTGTGTGTGTGTGCTGGAGCTAATGGAAGCTTACTAATTGTGTGTCCGCGTGCATCCACCCGTCTGGGCTGTGAGGGTGGTGGTGCTGTGCAGACCTGGCTGCTCACTGGTTATTATGGGCTGTGAGTGTTGTCAGTGGGACCAGCTCTGATAAATGGGTTCTGTCAGACCTGGAGACCCCTGGAAAGTTTGTGAATGGCCTTGAACACATGAAAGTAAACACCAACATGTAGCTACTGACAGCATCCCTAAGTTCAACCTGAAAATAAACCTTCAAGGCCTTGAGAGTCCTTATATTTCAGCTAAGTGAGGGAACCCAGCTGATGTCAGTGATGGCATTGTGCTGTTGCTGTTTCCACGGTGACATACACAGTAACTGTGACATAAGCTGATTTTAAGGTTCTTTTATTTCTTCTTAAAGCCATACATGGGCTGGCACCCCAGTATATCGCTGAACTCTTCTGCCCCTACTCCGACTCCCGACCTCGTAGATCCTCCGAACAATGTCTTTGAACTGTTCCATGACCGAGGCTGGTGGGTAAGGGAGATCGTGCCTTTGCAGTCGCTGCTCCAAAGCTCTGGAGTAGCCTTCCCCTTTTAATCAAATGCTCCCCCTCCATTTCAAGACAAATCTTAAAACGAACATGTTTTCAGTGGCCAGTGATCTTCATATTTTAGCATTTCACCTTATATTTTCTTGTTCGTAATTGTTCTTACAGTCTTATTCTGTTTTATATTTGTGGACATTTTATATTGCGATATATTTCTGTGTCATTCTTTTATCTTGTACAGCACTTTGGTCAGCTGCGGTTGTTTTTAAATGTGCTGTATAAATAAACTTGATTTGATAAGCCTCGTCAGTAGAACAGTGATGTCATGGTTTATTGGCACTCCCCCTCCTCCTCCCCTCAGGGTCGTGGTTCAGGGTTTCCAGGCAGGAGGAGGTCCAGAGGAGGAGGTATTGGAGGAGGCAGAGGAGGCAGAGGAAGGAGCCGGCTGAAAACCCAGGACTGCCTGACTGTGTCACCTGGAGTAAGAACACACACACACACAGTTGAATCAACATGGTAACAGTGGTGAGTGTGTGGTTTTGAGACAGCTTGGGTCCTTTTTTAGAGTACTAATAGTAGTAACTCTATTACAACAGTACTTTATTTAACTTTATTATAACAGTATTTTATTTTACTGTATTACAACAGTACTTTATTTAACTTTATTACAACAGTACTTTATTTAACTTTATTATAGCAGTACTTTATTTAAATCTATTACAGCAGTACTTTATTATAACAGTACTTTATTTCACTCTATTACAATAGTACTTTTTCACTTTATTATAACAGTACTTTATTTCATTCTATTATAACAGTACTTTATTTTACTCTATTACAACAGTACTTTATTATAACAGTACTTTATTTCACTCTATTACAATAGTACTTTTTCACTTTATTATAACAGTACTTTATTTCACTCTATTATAACAGTACTTTATTTTACTCTATTACAACAGTACTTTATTTCATTCTATTACAATAGTACTTTTTCACTTTATTATAACAGTACTTTATTTCACTCTAACAGTACTTTATTTCACTTTATTACAATAGTACTTTATTTCATTCTATTACAATAGTACTTTTTCACTTTATTATAACAGTACTTTATTTCACTCAATTACAATAGTACTTTTTCACTTTATTACAAAAGCACTTTATTTAACTTTATTATAACAGTACTTTATTTAAATCTATTACAACAGTACTTTATTTTACTCTATTACAACAGTACTTTATTTAACTTTATTATAACAGTACTTTATTTAAATCTATTACAACAGTACTTTATTTTACTCTATTACAACAGTACTTTATTTCACTTTATTATAACAGTACTTTATTTAAATCTATTACAACAGTACTTTATTTTACTCTATTACAACAGTACTTTATTTCACTTTATTATAACAGTACTTTATTTAAATCTATTACAACAGTACTTTATTTTACTCTATTACAACAGTACTTTATTTCACTTTATTATAACAGTACTTTATTTAAATCTATTACAACAGTACTTTATTTTACTCTATTACAACAGTACTTTATTTCACTTTATTATAACAGTACTTTATTTAAATCTATTACAACAGTACTTTATTTTACTCTATTACAACAGTACTTTATTTCACTTTATTATAACAGTACTTTATTTAAATCTATTACAACAGTACTTTATTTTACTCTATTACAACAGTACTTTATTTCACTTTATTATAACAGTACTTTATTTAAATCTATTACAACAGTACTTTATTTTACTCTATTACAACAGTACTTTATTTCACTTTATTATAACAGTACTTTATTTAAATCTATTACAACAGTACTTTATTTTACTCTATTACAACAGTACTTTATTTCACTTTATTATAACAGTACTTTATTTTACTCTATTACAACAGTCCTTTTCCCTTTATTATAACAGTACTTTATTTTACTCTCTTACAACAGTACTTTAACTTTATTACAACAGTACTTTATTTCACTCCATTACAATAGTACTTTTTCACTTTATTATAACAGTACTTTATTTCACTTTATTATAACAGTACTTTATTTCACTCTACAATAGTACTTTTTCACTTTATTATAACAGTACTTTATTTCACTCTATTACAATAGTACTTTTTCACTTTATTATAACTGTACTTTATTTCACTTTATTACAACAGTACTTTATTTCACTTTACAATAGTACTTTTTCACTTTATTATAAAAATACTTTATTTCACTCTATTACAATAGTACTTTTTCACTTTATTATAACTGTACTTTATTTCACTTTATTACAACAGTACTTTATTTCACTTTACAATAGTACTTTTTCACTTTATTATAAAAATACTTTATTTCACTCTATTACAATAGTACTTTTTCACTTTATTATAACTGTACTTTATTTCACTTTATTACAACAGTACTTTATTTCACTTTACAATAGTACTTTTTCACTTTATTATAAAAATACTTTATTTCACTCTATTACAATAGTACTTTTTCACTTTATTATAACTGTACTTTATTTCACTTTATTACAACAGTACTTTATTTCACTTTACAATAGTACTTTTTCACTTTATTATAAAAATACTTTATTTCACTCTATTACAATAGTACTTTTTCACTTTATTATAACTGTACTTTATTTCACTTTATTACAACAGTACTTTATTTCACTTTACAATAGTACTTTTTCACTTTATTACAATAGTACTTTATTATAACAGTACTTTATTTCACTTTACAATAGTACTTTTTCACTTTATTATAACAGTACTTTATTTCACTTTATTATAACAGTACTTTATTTCACTTTATTACAACAGTACTTTATTTCACTCTATTACAGTAGTACTTTATTTCACTCTATTACAATAGTACTTTTTCACTTTATTACAATAGTACTTTATTATAACAGTACTTTATTTAACTTTATTGTAATAGTACTTTATTTAACTTTTTTATAACAGTAACAATACTCTGTTATATAACAGTAGCTACTTGAATGACTGATGATCAGCTGATACAGAGGATACTGATGACTGTTGTCTCTCTGTCAGAGTGTGTATGTGGAGCCGTTCCAGCCGAAGGAGGAGGAGGAGAACTCGATGCACAACACAGTGGTGATGTTCTCCACCTCCGACCACTTCACCCTCAAGCAGGTACTCTTTCACCTGGACCCGGCAGAGTCCCATCAGAAATCATTCAGGTCTAGTGTCAATAAGACACCTGAGATTCAGCACCAACACCAAAGTCAGTGTAATGTGGGGAATCCTCTTCTGGCCCTTTAAGATGAGAAACTGAAATGATCCTCATGACTTTTCATGGAGTGCTTCATCAGGTCAACCTTCTTATGATTTCCCACCAAACACCTGCAGAGCTGATGTCACTCTCATATGTGTGTGCAGGACATGTGTGTGGTGTGTGGCAGTTTTGGTCAGGGGGCTGAAGGCAGACTGTTGGCCTGTTCTCAGTGTGGACAGTGTTACCATCCCTACTGTGTCAACGTCAAGGTTAGTACTCTCTCTCTCACTCACACACACACACACACACACACAGTGTATCCATTCCTGTTAAAGCTCCAGTGTCTCAGATTTAAGTGAATCTAATCTAATGGTCGCGTTCTGGTTCCCTCAGCATGAGTCATTTATATCTACATAGGGAGCAGGTCCTCGTCTGCAGAGATCACCATGTTGCTCCGCCATGTTTCTACAGTAGCCCAGAGCAGACAAACTAAACACCGGCTCTACACAGGGACATTCATGTGTTCACATTCATGTCAATGTAGTTAGCAGCCCCTCTGTGACGAGCAGCATCAGGAAAACACTGATTTCTTTTTTAAACCTGACGCGTGTTTATTCAGAGTGTTTCCTGGTGTCAGTCAGCTGCTGTGTGTGTTTCTGAGAGGACGAGACCTCTGTGGATAATTCAGCTCCTCAACAATCAACACTGAAGGAATTCTGACCAGGAGAAGTTTCAGATAGTTGTAATCTGTAATCTATAATCTGTAACCCTCACTGATAGACACCTGAATCCTCCTGAACCTGACACACTGAACCTTTATTCAGTTCTAACCACCGTCTGTTCTCTTTATGGACTCTGGTACACACAAACACCCAATAACCTGGTAACCTGGTTATCCTCTCTGTAACCTGGTTATCCTCTCTGTAACCTGATTATCCTCTCTGTAATCTGATTATCCTCTCTGTAACCTGGTTATCCTCTCTGTAACCTGGTTATCCTCTCTGTAATCTGATTATCCTCTCTGCAACCTGATTATCCTCTCTGTAATCTGGTTATCCTCTCTGTAACCTGATTATCCTCTCTGTAATCTGGTTATCCTCTCTGTAACCTGATTATCCTCTCTGTAATCTGGTTATCCTCTCTGTAATCTGATTATCCTCTCTGTAACCTGGTTATCCTCTCTGTAACCTGGTTATCCTCTCTGTAATCTGATTATCCTCTCTGTAACCTGGGTATCCTCTCTGTAACCTGGGTATCCTCTCTGTAACCTGATTATCCTCTCTGTAACCTGATTATCCTCTCTGTAACCTGGGTATCCTCTCTGTAACCTGGGTATCCTCTCTGTAATCTGATTATCCTCTCTGTAATCTGGTTATCCTCTCTGTAACCTGATTATCCTCTCTGTAATCTGGTTATCCTCTCTGTAACCTGATTATCCTCTCTGTAATCTGGTTATCCTCTCTGTAACCTGATTATCCTCTCTGTAACCTGGTTATCCTCTCTGTAACCTGGTTATCCTCTCTGTAATCTGGTTATCCTCTCTGTAATCTGATTATCCTCTCTGTAACCTGGTTATCCTCTCTGTAACCTGGTTATCCTCTCTGTAATCTGATTATCCTCTCTGTAACCTGGTTATCCTCTCTGTAACCTGGTTATCCTCTCTGTAATCTGATTATCCTCTCTGTAACCTGGTTATCCTCTCTGTAACCTGGTTATCCTCTCTGTAATCTGATTATCCTCTCTGTAACCTGGTTATCCTCTCTGTAACCTGGTTATCCTCTCTGTAATCTGATTATCCTCTCTGTAACCTGATTATCCTCTCTGTAATCTGGTTATCCTCTCTGTAACCTGATTATCCTCTCTGTAATCTGGTTATCCTCTCTGTAACCTGATTATCCTCTCTGTAATCTGGTTATCCTCTCTGTAACCTGATTATCCTCTCTGTAATCTGGTTATCCTCTCTGTAACCTGATTATCCTCTCTGTAATCTGGTTATCCTCTCTGTAACCTGATTATCCTCTCTGTAATCTGGTTATCCTCTCTGTAACCTGATTATCCTCTCTGTAATCTGGTTATCCTCTCTGTAATCTGATTATCCTCTCTGTAACCTGGTTATCCTCTCTGTAACCTGGTTATCCTCTCTGTAATCTGATTATCCTCTCTGTAACCTGGTTATCCTCTCTGTAACCTGGTTATCCTCTCTGTAATCTGATTATCCTCTCTGTAACCTGGTTATCCTCTCTGTAACCTGGTTATCCTCTCTGTAACCTGATTATCCTCTCTGTAACCTGATTATCCTCTCTGTAATCTGGTTATCCTCTCTGTAACCTGATTATCCTCTCTGTAATCTGGTTATCCTCTCTGTAACCTGATTATCCTCTCTGTAATCTGGTTATCCTCTCTGTAACCTGATTATCCTCTCTGTAATCTGGTTATCCTCTCTGTAATCTGATTATCCTCTCTGTAACCTGGTTATCCTCTCTGTAACCTGGTTATCCTCTCTGTAATCTGATTATCCTCTCTGTAACCTGGGTATCCTCTCTGTAACCTGGGTATCCTCTCTGTAATCTGATTATCCTCTCTGTAATCTGGTTATCCTCTCTGTAACCTGGTTATCCTCTCTGTAATCTGATTATCCTCTCTGTAACCTGGTTATCCTCTCTGTAACCTGGTTATCCTCTCTGTAATCTGATTATCCTCTCTGTAACCTGATTATCCTCTCTGTAACCTGGTTATCCTCTCTGTAACCTGATTATCCTCTCTGTAATCTGGTTATCCTCTCTGTAACCTGATTATCCTCTCTGTAATCTGGTTATCCTCTCTGTAACCTGATTATCCTCTCTGTAATCTGGTTATCCTCTCTGTAACCTGATTATCCTCTCTGTAATCTGGTTATCCTCTCTGTAATCTGATTATCCTCTCTGTAACCTGGTTATCCTCTCTGTAACCTGGTTATCCTCTCTGTAATCTGATTATCCTCTCTGTAACCTGGGTATCCTCTCTGTAACCTGGGTATCCTCTCTGTAACCTGATTATCCTCTCTGTAACCTGATTATCCTCTCTGTAACCTGGGTATCCTCTCTGTAACCTGGGTATCCTCTCTGTAACCTGATTATCCTCTCTGTAATCTGGTTATCCTCTCTGTAACCTGATTATCCTCTCTGTAATCTGGTTATCCTCTCTGTAACCTGATTATCCTCTCTGTAACCTGGTTATCCTCTCTGTAACCTGGTTATCCTCTCTGTAATCTGATTATCCTCTCTGTAACCTGGTTATTCTCTCTGTAATCTGGTTATCATCTCTCTAGCCTGATTACACTCTTCTGTAATGTGATTACTTTGCTGCAATCTGATTACTTTCTGCTGTATTTTGAATACTCTGTTCTAATCTGATTACTCTCTGTTGAAATCTGATTACTCCACTGTCATGTTTTCTCTCTGCTGCAATATGATTACTGTTTCTGTGATCTGATGGTTCTCTCTGCAATCTGATTACTTTTTCTGCAGTCTGATTACTCTCTGTTGTAATCTGATTACTCTCTCTCTGTCGTGTCCAGATTACAAGGGTCATCCTGACCAAAGGGTGGCGCTGTCTGGAGTGTACTGTGTGTGAGGCGTGTGGCGAGGCCAGCGACCCTGGGCGACTGTTGCTATGCGACGACTGTGACATCAGCTACCACACCTACTGCCTGGACCCGCCCCTTCATACAGTCCCTAAAGGAGCCTGGAAGTGCAAGTGGTGGGTCCACCTGTCAATCACCTGTGTGTGTGTGTGTGTGTGTGTGTGAGATACACTGGTGCCACCGTCTCGTCAGATAACATCTTCAACTATAATCTGAACTTTCCTGATGTTGCATCAGAACATTTATGCCACGCCGCTGTGCCAGCGATAGACGTCGTCTGTTTAATTCTTGTGAGTGCGATATTTCAGGAGTGTGTGTGTGGGTGTCCTCCTCAGGTGTGTGTGGTGTGTCCAGTGTGGCTCCACCTCCCCCGGGCTGCACTCTGATTGGCAGAATAACTACAGTCGCTGTGGACCGTGTGCCAGTCTGAGCTGCTGTCCTCTCTGTCAGAGACAGTACACACAGGACGAACTGATACTGCAGTGTCAGCAGTGTGACAGGTAACGGCCCACACACACACACACACACACACACACACGACTGTAAACCTTCACCAGACCAACAGGGCTGAAACCAGGCACTGTTTGTACATGTACCTGTGTGCAGGTGGGTCCACGCTGTGTGTCAGGGTCTGAACACTGAAGATGAGGTGGAGGTTGCTGCTGACGAAGGCTTCGACTGCTCGCTGTGTCGAACACACGGCCGCAGCTCCTACGGTAAACACACACACACACACACACACACACACACACACACAGTCCATGAGGTCTGAGCAGCTGATTCGGGCAGTATGTTATTAGATCCAGTGTTTACACACCACATCTTTATATGAGCTACGTCACTGAGCTCCACCTGATCCAGGAACTGTGTGTGTTCCTCTGATGATAACACTGCTGTGTGTGTGTGTGTGTGTGTGTGTGTGTGTGTGTGTTCTCCAGGTCGGTCTGACAGTTTTGATTCTCCTTACATGGCTCAGATCATCTCCAGGATCAGAGAACCCGGTCAGTGTGACTCTGTAACATGAACTGTTGAAGCTGTCAGCTGGTCACAGCTGTGGCTCCACCCATTTTGTTTTCAGGCTGTTCCTCCATCTGTTTGTCTCATGCTCATGAACACAATGTCTCAAAAACACCTTGAGGGGATTTCTTTAAGTTTGGCACAAACATCCACTTAGACTTAAGAAGAACTGATGAAGGTATGATTGCTATGATGATGTGTTAATGTGATCAGTGTGTGTGTGTGTGTGTGTGTGTGTGTGCAGAGACAAAGACGTACACTCAGGATGGAGTGTGTCTGACGGAGTCGGGACTCTCTCACCTGCAGTCTCTGGTTGAACCTCTGACGTCACCGCGCAGGTACCGCAGGTGAACCTCCTCCTCCTCCTCTCTTTGCTTTAATGGTGTGAGCTGTTTCCGTGCTGAGTCATCACGCTGATCAGCTGTTTCCTGTCTGCAGGTGTAAGCCCAAACTGAAGCTGAGGATCATCAACCAGAACAGTGTGTCTGTCCTGCAGACTCCACCCGACCCTGACCCCCCCACTGAGCAGGACCCGTGCAGAGGTCAGAGGTCAAACACACTCATGGCTGTCTGTCTGTGTTTGTGACGACCCCATAACCCTAAGCCCCGCCTCCTTCTGTCCTGCAGGTGACGTGGAGAGTGAGATGAAATCTGACTCCAGCCCTGAGCGAGACCACGCCCATGACGATGATGTTACCAAGGAGCCTGAGGTTACCGATGGCAACAAGAAGAGGAAAAGGAAACCCTACAGGCCTGGTGAGGAGGGGCAGGGACAGGAAACAGGAAGCAGATTTCAATTAAATCGCCATGGAAATGTCTATAGAGGCTACAAAGACACATGTTCATGTGATCAGTTGAGACGTAAAGTGTCACACTCATGTGTCTCTCCACCTGTCTCTGCCTCCACCTGTCTCTGCCTCCACCTGTCTCTGTCTCTACCTGTCTCTCCACCTGTCTCTGCCTCCACCTGTCTCTGTCTCTCCCTCCACCTGTCTCTGTCTCCACCTGTCTCTCCACCTGTCTCTGCCTCCACCTGTCTCTGCCTCCACCTGTCTCTGTCTCCACCTGTCTCTCCACCTGTCTCTGCCTCCACCTGTCTCTGCCTCCACCTGTCTCTGTCTC